GGCTTGTGGGAAGTCAGTGGTGGCATTTGGGCTCTGAGGGTTTTTCCTGAGGAGCTGTTTTGTTTGGCGTGTGTGGTTCTAAAAATAAAGTTCGTTTCTTTTGACAAGTGGCTCCTGAATCATGCCCATCCAGACTGTGGCATTTCGCCTAGCTGTCTCCTTGCAAAATTCCTCATTGGCAACCTTCCATAACAGGTATTGACCTCCATTTAGCACAGCTTTACACATATTAGCCCAATCTGCTGGTGTCATGTTCAAATTGTTAATGGATTCGACCAAGCTTACAGTGAAGGGTGCTTGAGGACCATATATTGTTACAGCCTCTTTTAGCTGCTTCACTACTGTTTTGAAATTTAAAGCATGGTGAATTTGCTGCCCTCCTACCTCAAATACAGGGCATGTTAATACTTGAGATCCTGTCTCAGAATCCCAACTATCAACTGCGCGGGTTGGGAGCCTCCCAGCATATGGAGGTGATGCTGTTGATTGGACACTTATGCCCTCTGGTGATAGAAAGGTGTTAGTAGCAGTCTCCTGTAGAGGTGGTGCTGTCGGTTGGACACTTACACCCTCTGATAGAAAGGTGTTAGTAGCAATCTCCTGTTGTAACTTTTCCCCTGATGGCTTTTCTGCTCTAAACTTCCTTCCTCTGTATGACTAGCTTGAAAGACCTTCTCGTTTACTTGAATCTTTTCCTCTTTCTGACTAACTTGAGAGTTGGTAGAGCTTGGTGCTGATAACGCCAAGGTTGCAGGTTTGTTCCCCGTACGGGCCACCAAATGCCGCAGTCTGGCTGGGCACGATTCAGGAGCCACTTGTCAAAAGAAACAAACTTTATTTTTAGAACCACACACGCCAAACAAAATAGCTCCTCAGGAAAAATCCTCAGAGCCCAAATGCCACCACCGACTTCCCACAAGCCTCTCACACCAACCCAAGCCTCTCCACCTCCCACAATCCTCCTGCTCTTGAGGCTGATTGGCTGAGTCACGTGGGCGGAGCCAAAAAAGTCCCCCAGTGAGCAGCTCCGTGGTCTGAAAGGGCAGAGAAACAGCCCAATGAGCATCACCGCAGAGGAGCCAATCAGCTAGATGTTGCTGGGGCCGCTGTGAGCCAATCATCAGCTGGCAGTCTGAAAGGGCGGGGAAACAGCTCAATGAGCATCTCCAGTGAGCATTACCGCAGAGGAGCCAATCAGCTAGATGTTGCTGGGGCCGCTGTGAGTCAATCATCAGCCGGCAGCTGGAAGTTTGCTGGGGCCCCTTCTGCTGTGGCTCTCAACGTGTGTGTGTGTGTGTGTGTGTGTGTGTGTGTGTGTGTGTGTGTATGCAAATGTTCCAAAATTTGAAAATCTGAAGCACTTCTTATCCCTAGCATACTCAACTGATGTACACACATATATTCTCTTTCCTGCTTTAATTTTTCTATTTGGCTCTTCTCACTATCTAATTACAATACACATCACTGATTGATTGTATTGGTTTATCTTGTTTCTTGTTTGCATTCCCAGCAAGAATGTCAGCTCTATGAGGGCAGGGATTTTTATATGCCTTGTTTTGTATCTTTGTCTTACCAGCCCCTAAACCATGGCCTAGTAGATATTCATTAAATATTATCTCATTAAACATTAGCTAAAGGAATAGGCATCAGCATGCCCATGGGGTGTTATGAAAGTCAGGGGTAGAAATCTTACCAATGGAGAGAGTGCAGGGCTCGAAGTATGGAAATGGTGCCAAGAAGTCAAATGAGATAAAGGAGATAAGTGCTTAATGCATATATTAATGAAGAGATTAGGGTCATTGGTGAGATCTGTTTTAAAGAAGCTGGGAACTACAGTCACCCTATATAGCAGGCAATGAGAAAGTAAATATTGCAACCCTAAAAATAATTTTCATCATTTTGAATCTGGTAGAACACCTCTGGTTATTACTGAGCAACTATGAGTGATAGGGAAACTTTCTACTATATATACTACTGTGCCTTTTGAAGATTGTACCATGTACAACTATAACCTATTCAAAAAAGGGTAATTATGAAATATATAGGTTTGGATGTGAAGAGTTAGAGAGAATCAGATAGCAGTGAGGAAAGGAAAGTGCATAGATGGGTCTTATCTTTTTTGTTTGCAAAGATCAATGGGTTTGTTTAAATGCTGTTTTGAAAGAGGTAAAGAGGAAGAGGTTGCAGATACTGCAGAAAGAAGGAATAATTGATTGAAAATGTAAGAAAAGATGTAACCTGGATTTAAGCACTGGCTTTAGAAGGAAAGAAAGGGGTACTTTCATTGTAGGAGGAGGAAAGGATGGATTTATAAGGAGGTAGATTTGGTGATGGGAAGATTAGATAGTTTCTATCTGATTACTTCATTTTCTCTAAGAAGTAGGAAGCAAGGATATTTGCTGAGAAAGAAGAGGGAAGTAGTAGATCAGAGATTTGAAATCCACTGTGGATCATGGGGAAGAGCTGAGTAGGGAATTTTTGGAGGATTATTTTAGACAGTGTGAACTTATTGTGCCCCCAATACAATGTGTGATTTCTCTCTAGCCACATCCAGTGATACAATTTTATGTAGTTGGATTGAGCCATGGTTGGAGTTTACATGGGGTGGAAGGCAGTGGGGCAAGTGAGGATATCTGTAAGAGAATGCTGGAGGGAGGAATAGTGGATCTTTTTCTTTCTTTCTTTTTTTCCCAAAACTTGGGATCAAACCCAGGGCCTTGATCATGCTAGGCAAGCACTGAGCTACATCCCCAGTGTCCCCACTCCATTTTGGTATTGGAAATTGAACCTGGGATGATTTATCACTGAGCCACATCCCTGATTCTTTTTTATTTTCTATTTTGAGACATCATCTTTCTAAGTTTCTGAGGATCTTGCTAAGTTGTTGAGTCTGTCCTCGAACTTGTCATCCTCTTGCCTCAGCCTCTTTAGTGTCACAGTGTCTGCTCACAGCTTTTTAATTTTATTTTGAAAATAGAGTCTTTCTAAGTTGCCCAGACTGGCCTTGAATTTGATACTCCTGCCCCAGCCTCCTGATTAGGTTATGGTTGCAGGTGATCCCCATCATACCCAGCTATGGAGTCTAAGCTAGATAGGAAAATAGAACAAAATTGAGAAGGGGTGAATAGGTGAAAAGTAGAAGGATCAAGATATTCTAAGGACAAAGCAAGGTGTAGTGAGTGAGTGCTGGAAGTATATACTTGTGGTCAGAGAGAGTGATGTATAAATTTCATATTCCAGAGATGAAGCAATTGCTCTTTGTTGACAATATCTGGGGGATGGCCATGAAAGTTAGTAGCTGAAATAGGAGTGGAGGTAATAGTGTTGGAAGATGAGAAAATCAAAGAACTAAGAGCCCAGGATGTTGGGCCTCCATATTGATGCTGATACCACATAGTATATTGGCAGGACTTAGGGTAAAATGAATCTGAGTAGGTTCTTCAGTGATAAAGGGGGGTTTATTGGGGAAATGGGTACTGGCAGTGATGAAAAAGAACAGAAATTAGTATAGCTACATAGTATGAAACTGAGAGGAATGGGAGATCTTACACAAAGGTAGAGGAGAGGTGATCTTATCTCACTGGAGGGTGAGGGTGATATCTGCTCACAGTGCTGCCCTGAGTTATGAGAGGATCTTGGGGAACTTAGAGCTTCTGTTTGCAAGGCAAGAGCTTCCACTTGCAAGATGTACAATGCTTCTTAGACTTTCTGTGGCAAAGGATCCAGGGTATTTTTTTCTTTATTTCTGTTCTATAATAGACCAATCCTTTTCCAAAATAAATTTTTTACTTAGCTAATATTTTTGTTCATACTATTTTTCTATCACTTATTGATTACTTACTGTGTGCCAGATTGTGCTATATACTTTTGTGATTGAGTCTTTAAAGAAAACCCCTCAAAGTTTATATTGATAGCCACAATGTATTGATAAGCTATAGGTTTACAGACACAGGATTATTATTTGGGAATATTGTGGTGTGTTGGGATCTTGATCCCAGACAGTATATGAGCATGGTCTAATTTCATTGTAGAGATAGAAAATACAAATAAAAAGCAAGAAATAATCACTCATAAACATTGTTAACTATAAAATATTTTTGGTGCTTTTGATTTAATAAAGGATCTCAATAGTTTAAAATTTGGATTATATGTTGATTGTTGATTTTATGTTGATTTTGTGGCACTGGGGATTGAACTGAGGAACTCACACATTTTAGGCAAGTGCTCTACCACTGTTTTATATGCCCAGCCCTCTGCTATATGTTGAAAAAGTGTTTTGGATATATTGGGTATATAATTAAATAAAATACTATTAAAATTAATTTCCCTATTTTTACCTTTTAAATGTGTCTATTTAGAACACATAAAATTACATATTTGGTTCATATTATATTTCTGTGGATAGAATCTCTTCTAGCTTTGACTATTTTAAGTCTTAATGAAGCTTTACTGTGTGTAGCTTTGTCATAATTATTTTAGATCAGAAGAAATTTTGCATTGATGAAAATGTTTCATAATCTGTTCAATATGGTAGCAACTAACTACATGTGGCCACTGAACACTTGAAATGTAGCTAGTGTGATAGAGGAACTGCATTTTATTTTTTTAATTTCTTACTTTTTTATTTTTGTGGTGCTGGGGATTGAACTCAGGGCTTTGTGCATGTGGGGCAAGCACTCTACCAATCCCCAGCCCTTGTATTTTGTTTTATTTTAAAATTTTTGTTGTTGTTGTAGATGGACAGTATGCCTTTATTTTATTTGTTTTATTTTTATGTGGTGCTAATAATTGAACCCAGTGACTCACACATGCTAGGTGCCCTGCCACTGAGCTATAGCCCAGCCCAAGGAACTGCATTTTCAATGTACTTAATTTTAATTAAATGTAAATAGTCATATGTAATAGCTACCATGCTGACAAGCTACTGTACTGAACAACACTGTTCTATACCTTATGAAAATAATATTTTTATAAACCTTGGCCGTTTTTTTCTTTTCCAGTTGTGTTGGAGTTGAAGAGGAGAAGGCTGCTGACATTGACCTGTACCACTGCCCCAACTGTGAGGTCTTACATGGTCCCTCCATTAGTAAGTAGATCTTAGAGTTTCCATCAGAAGTTGGTCTAAAGGAGGGAGAGAATAAAGGAAGCTTGGGAGGGTGATTGCCTTTGTCTGAGTGCTTCAGATTCATCATCTTTAGGAAATAGCAGAAACCTGTGTAGGTCAGCAGCTGCTGCAACAAGAGGACAGAAATGTATAGCTTTACCTGCCTTCCTTCCCAGGGATTGCCCAGAGAAAGCACCCATCTTCAATAGGAACTTTCTTGAGTCTGAGAGCCTCATTGACTCCTGATACTTTTTGGGGTTGATAGACAGGAAGAATCTGTTGAGGCCTTTGTTCTTGGAATCATAGATCACGGGCACTCTGACTCATGATCTCGTGTCTTTTTCTGGCTTAGTGAAAAAACGCCGTGGATCTTCAAAAGGGCATGAAACACACAAGGGGAAGCCAGTGAAGACTGGGAGCCCTATGTTCATTCGAGAACTCCGCAGTAGGACTTTTGACAGGTGAGGACCCTAGGGCTCTGGGAGGCTGGAACCCATCTCTTCTCAACTTTTCCAATGTCTGTGCTATTAGATGTCACCCCATTCATGGACATTTTCTGGGCTCCTTAAGTTCCCTCTGGGGAGGAAATTTCTGTTTTGGTCAGTTTCTGAGAAATAATAGCTAAAGTTTAATTTGATGTGCACAATATATTATAGTCCACTTGTAAAAATTTGTCCTAGCATGTGCAATACCCTAAGTTCAGTCCCCACCACTGCAAATAAACAAACAAGAATGTGCAGTAATTGGGAGGCAGTAGTCCCAAAAGCCAGAAGATGATATTTATATGCCCCCACAAAGTGTTAGAACTGGCTGGAAGGAATCTTTAAAAATAAGTAAATTTAATTCTCTCATTGTAGAGAAGGAAAAACTTTGTTTTTGGTACTAGGGATTAATTGCTGCTTATAATGAACTCTTATCAGATTCCTAACCATGACCATTCTAAGTCTTTTTTCATCCACAGACCTTATTATTGTTGTTGTTGTTGTGACTATTATGAGGATTGAACCTAGTGGCTATACCCCACATCCCAGCCCCCTATTTTAATTATGAGACAGCATTTTGCTAAGTTGCTTAGGGCATTGCTAAGTTGTTGAGGCTGGTCTTGAACTTAAAAACTTACTGCCTTAGTCTATTTTTTATTTTTATTTTTTTTGCCTTAGTCTGTTGAGATGCTGGGACTACAGGTATGCACTACCATGCTGGGCAGAGAAGAGGAAACATTTTAAAAATAAAAATTTTTGAATGGTCATCTATTTCTTTTTTCAATCACAAAGAAGTTTCTTTTTCCTTTTTTAAATTGAGCTGCCTTATTAAAAATAGATTAAATAATTTATGAATTGAGCAAAGATAATGAGTTAAAAGTTAATGAATGAAGAACTCTTTTACTTGTTTTTTTTTTGGAGGGGGCATTTTCAGGTTTTCTGTGATTGAAGTGTTATTTAGGATTAAATATTATTTTTTTTCATCTTAATTTTTTTTTTTTTGCTTTTTTTTTAAAGGCCTGTGAGTCTCTTCTCCACCCCAGACCTCTTAGGTCCTTTCTAAGTCATTTAATATCTTGTGAATTATTTCAAAAATAACCTTGCATGTATGTTTCTTTTTCTTCTCTTTATAAACAAGGGATTGAACCAGTGGCACTTAATCACTCAGCCACATCCCTGGTTCTTTTTAGTTTTTATTTTGAAAGGGGTCTTGCTGAGGGCCTTGCTGAATTGCTGAGCCTAGCTTTGAACTTGTGATCCTCCTGCCTCAGCCTCCCACGCTGCTGGGATTGCAGGCATGTGCTAATGTGCTCAGCTCTTTTCATTTTTGGACACAAATGGAAACCATATATTCATCTTCCTTTTTTAATTTAAACTATATATCTTGGAGATAAATCCATAACACATATACTGATGTTCTTCATTCTTTTTAAGGCTATTTAGTATTACATTATTTGGATACAACATTTATTTAACTAGTTCTCTATTGATGAACATTTAAGTTGTGCAGATATTTTAGTATTAGAAAAATACTTCTGTGAATATCTATGTACTTAACATTTTTGCATATGTGGTGAACATATATGTAGATTTACTGTCTTTCAGTGAAATTGTTAGGTCAAAGAGGCTGGGCTTTAAAATTTTAAATGTTGCCATTTTTTTCATTGTGTTTGCACCATTTCATACTTCCACAGACAATGTGTTAAGGGTGCTGATTTCCCTATAACCTAGCCAACATTATTATCAAACTATTTTTGCCCTTCTGATAAGATAAAATGAAATATTTTTGTTTCTACTTGTATTACTTTAATTATGAAGGAGGTAAATAGATTTTTGTACATTTATATGTCATCTTTCTTTTTTAAATATTTATTTTTTAGTTGTAGTTGGGCACAATACCTTTATTTTATTTATTTATTTTTATGTGGTGCTGAGGATTGAACCCAGGGCCTCACATGTGTTTTTGAGCTCTCTACCGCTGAGCCACAATCCCAGCCCTCATCTTTCTTTGTCTGGTAACCATCTGCTTATATTGATAATTTTTCAATTGTTTTACTGTTTCTTAGTAATTTACAACAGCTTTCCTTGAAGAAATTTTTAATTTTTTATTTAGTTAAATTTATTTATTACTAATTTTAGTGACTACTGGAACTTGGTGCTTCATGGTTTTTCCACTACCCTTATGGCTTTAGTTTTTGCAATTTAATCTTTGGGCCACTTAGAGTTAGATAGATATTAAGCTCTTAATATGTTTGTCCTAACACAACTTGTCAAATAGTCTATTATCTTTTTTTTTTTGTGTGTGTGTGGTGCTGGGGATTGAACCCAGGGTCTTGTGCCCACTAAGCACATGCTCTGCTACTGAGGTACATCCCCAGCTAGTCTATTATCCTTTTTTGTTAGTACCAGGGATTGAACTCAGGGGCACTCAACCACTGAGCCACATCCCTAGCCTTATTATGTATTTTATTTAGAGACAGGGTGTCACTGAGTTGCTTAGCACCTCGCTTTTGCTGAGGTTGGCTTTGAACTTGATTCTCCTGTCCTAGCCTCCCAAGCTTCTGGGATTATAAGTGTGCATCAGCATGCCAGGCTTAAGTCTTTTATCTTTTAACCAGCATGTTCTTTTTAAAACTCCTGTTGGGCTGGGATTGTGGCTCAGTCGTAGAGCACTTGTTTAGCACAGTGAGGCCCTGGGTTCAATCATCAGCACCACGTAAAAGTAAATAAATAAAATAAAAGTATAAAAATATTTTTAAAAAATAAAAAAAAGAAAAACTCTTGTTTCCTAGCTAATTAAGAATGTTGAGAAAATACTCTCATTGGCTAATGTTTTAAATGGAATGCTGTTGCTCTGGGTTAAAACAAATCAGCTAATCTTATTAGATGTGTCTTTTCTTCCTAGGCAGGCTATTCCTGATTTCTTCTTTTGTCATCCAGAGAAAAGCACCCTATTGACTGGATATTCCTGAACTTTGCCAATGACCTTATCTTTAGCCTTGGACAGGTTGTTTCTTCCCTGGCACATGAGGTTTATGCCATTAGTCACCAGTTCATATGAGGCTCCCTGGGGATGACCCCACTCTTTGAGTAATACCTTCCCATGAGGCCTTTAGTGAGCCCAGCCTCAGACTCAAGATTTCTTTCCTGTGGCCCACAGCTCAGATGAAGTAATTCTGAAGCCCACTGGAAATCAGTTGACTGTGGAATTTCTGGAAGAGAATAGCTTCAGTGTACCCATCCTGGTCTTGAAGAAGGATGGGTTGGGAATGACGCTGCCCTCGCCATCATTCACTGTGAGAGATGTGGAACACTATGTTGGTAAGACACTGCAGATCCTCTTAACTTACATATTCCACTCTACCAAGATCTGTGTCCCTTTTCCCTCCAATCCACCTTTTGCATTTACTTTCTAGTTATCTTGGGCATCTAAATAGCTTGCCTGGAGTCATTCTTGGGTAAAGCTAGAGCCAAAATCTTAAGTTTCCTCTTTTTTCCTCTTAATAGACCACAAAAATTAGGTTGAGCCCCATTTTTGCCTGTGGAATTTTAGGGATCATGGCTTTATTGTCCTCAGTTGAGATAAGTGTCTTTGACTCTTACCCTCATATGCCAGTTGTTACTCTGGACATGATTTTGGGGGGATAGAAGAAGAGAATAAGGAAATAGGGCCAAGGAAGGTAGGATGTGCTCTATGTGGAACTCTGTGTCAGGTAGTTTCATAGTCCTAGCAACCTGGACCCACCACATAGGTCTACAGTAAGTGTAAGTGATGTATTCCTACCTTACCTCCTTAATGCACACACACACACGTGCATACATATATACATCATTCAAGGACAGTAGTTTTGAGTAAAAGGCCATATGCTTGTGATAAACCAGTGAGTCTTCCCCTTTCCTTGATTTCACTTGGTACAGAAACAATCTCTTTACTATAGGTTCTGACAAGGAGATTGATGTGATTGATGTGGCCCGTCAGGCTGACTGCAAGATGAAGCTTGGTGATTTTGTGAAATATTATTACAGCGGGAAGAGGGAGAAAGTCCTCAATGTCATTAGTTTGGAATTCTCTGATACCAGGTAGGAGGGCAAGGGTAACAAAAAATAACTCTGACAAAGTGTCTGCAACTGCTGGTATGCTGAGTATATATTTGTGTTCCTTTCCCTTTTTCCTGGTAGTTTTAGCCTTTGGGATGGGATTTGTGTTATACTTTCAAGGGTAGCCACTCCCATTAGAATGAGCAAGTCATATTTCTTCTCCAGAGTTTCTAACATTAGAAAAATTATATAGTTTCTTTTAATTTTTGTCTCCTTCAAGGCCTAGGACAGCATTCCAAATTTTTCCAGTATTTAGCTTGTGTCCTGGTCATTGTCTAACTATGGCTGGGATAAGTCTTCTGTCCCTGGAAATAGATTGACTAAAATTACCCCCATGTCGTTTCTCTAATGATAAAATGAAAACAAAGCTGTATTATAGACTTTAGATGATTCCATTTGGACTCATGTACTCAATAGACACATATAGTCTTCTCTGTATACAGACTGGGAAATACAAAGAAATTATAACATGTCATTTTACCCTTAGGGATGCTTACTGTCTAGTTATTTATGTTTTTTTTTTTTTACTTTTAATTTTGAAATACTTAGAGATTCACAGGAAGTTACAACAAACTGTGTAGGAAGGTCCTGTTTCCCACAATGGTAACATCTTACATAATTGTAGTACAATATTAAAACCCTTGCTGTTATTTTTAAGATTCAAAATTAAACAGGATTTAAGACCTGTTTGTTTTTTTAAATCTTGCTTTATCATGAAAGACTATCTGAGATAGCTTACAGAGATGCAGAGAGGGGGAAAAGAGAATATTAGAATATTAGAACAAAGGAAAATAAAGGTGGAAAAATAGGGAGCATATGATAGTACTCTGCACATGCCATGCAATGTATGAATGTCTGGATAGTCGGGGTGGACTGAGTTTTCACTGAATTTTTTAAAGGTTGGAACAAAGAGGAGAGTGCAACATTATAAGATCTATGGTTTTATAAGGGATAAAATCAAGCAGATGTTTCAGAGTAACACTTGTTTACCCAGAACTGATTCCCTGAGAGGTTTCACTAATGACTTCTCATAAAGAAGATACTATGAGGGGCTGGGGTTGTGGCTCAGTAGTGGAGCACTTGCCTCACACCTGTGAGGCACTGGGCTCAATCCTCTGCACCACATAAAAACAAACAAAATGAGGGTATCGTGTCCATTTATAACTAAAAATTTATATATATATATATATATAAAAGATACTATTAGGTGGAGATGATACAATAACTGTTATAAACTAATTGCCAAGTATGGATAGTATGAGCATTTAGTGGAAGAAACAACTACCTTCTCCTGGGAAAGGCTGTGGTGTTGGGGTTTGGATTTTGGGAACTGTGTGAAATAAAGATGCTGATCCAACTTATACATGGAAAGAACTTGTTCTGTCTTATCTGTCAATGAGATACTGGGATTTTATTCAGGCATCATCCTTCAGTTCCCAATCAGAACTAACATTTGCTTTCTACTCCTTCCTTGGTAGGCTTTCCAACCTTGTGGAGACACCTAAGATTGTTCGCAAGCTGTCATGGGTTGAGAACTTGTGGCCTGAGGAGTGTGTCTTTGAGAGACCCAATGTGCAGAAGTACTGCCTCATGAGTGTGCGGGATAGTTATACAGATTTTCACATTGACTTTGGTGGCACCTCAGTCTGGTATCATGTGCTCAAGGTAGGAATGGATATGACTTCTGGAGGCAGCCAGGCCTTGAGCATCCCTGCTTGTGTCAAATGACAGCACAAAATATGCTGCTGGGGTCTACTTACCTCCTAGATCCTGTTTGGGTGATATTTCTATATAATTATTCTGTCAGGATTTTCTCCTTGGTGGATGTTCCATATAATAAAATGATGATGGTCTGTTTCTATAGTTTTAATGCTCAATCAAAAATTTTTTTTGAATAACAGCAGATGCCTAAGTTTTTCCCCCACTGTTACCTCCTTAAATGAACCAATTTATACTCCAACCAACATGTATAAAAATGTCCATATTTACTTTAGAAATTCTGGTATCATGAGAAACTTCGGCTCCCCTCACATTTATTAAGGTATAATTCATACACATTAAAATTCATCTATTTTAAGTGTACAGTTAAATGAGTTTTGAAAATTGTATATAGTCATTTATCTGCCACCACAATTATAATAGACTACATATGAGAAGTCTTTTAAAGTCACAATTTCTGTAGTTTTCCTTTCACTCATTATTATAATTAGTAATTAGCATATTTCAGTGATTATAAAGGATTTTTGCTGTCTGGAAAACAAATTTCCTAACTAAGTTTGATTGTTTTTCACCATTGTTCATACTATTTCATTTTCTTAATAGAAATGCCAAGGAAAGTGTGTAGGCTATTTGGATGATGGTTGATGTCCAAATGATTATACCTTTTCAACTAGTTGTTTCCATTGGTTTATCATGAAAAGATTGGAGCCAGGTGCTGTGGTGCACACTTGTAATCTCTAAGATACTGAGCAGGCTGAGGCAGGATGTTTTAGTCAGATTTTTTGTTGCTGTGACTAAAGTCCTTTAAAAAGTAAATAGTTTATTTTGGGGCTCACAGTGTCAGAGGTCTCAGTCTGTAGATGGCCTACTCCATTCCTCTGGGCCAGAGGTGAACCAGGACATATGGTGGAAGAGTGGTAAAGGAAAGCAACTGGGAACATGATACCAGGAAGCAGAGAGAGAGCTCTGCTGAACAAGGACAAAATATAAACCCCAAAGGCATACCCCCAGGGGCTCACTTCCTCTAGCCACACCTTACCTCCCTTGGGATTCTACCACATTAATCCCCTGAGAGGGGGATTAATGCACTGATCAGTTTAAACTTTTTAAACCCAATCATTTCCTCTCTGAACTTGTTTGCATTGTCTCATACATGAGCTTTTGGGGGAACAACTCACATCTAAGCCATAACAGGAGCATGGCAAATTTGAGGCCAGCTTGTGCAATTTAGCAAAATCCCACCTCAATGTGTTGGGGATTTAACACAGTGATAAAATTTGACCAGCATGTGCAGGTTACTGGTTCCTAGTACCACAAAAAAAAAAAAAAAAAAGAAAAGAAAAGAAAAAAGAAAAAACTGGAGCCTGCAGCATGTAAATAGAAAATGCTGCTGATGCAAATGCTAGATTTAACTCTTATTTTGTTTTTATTATTATTTTGTCACTGGGGATTGAACACAGGAGCACTTCACCACTTTTATTCTCAGTCCTTTTTGCTTTTTATTTTGAGGCAGGGTCTCACTAATTTGCTCAAGCTAGCCTTGACTTATGATCCTCCTGTCTTAGCCTCCCAAGTTGCTGGGATTAACTTAAGTCTTTATTTTTAAATAATTTTATTTTCATAGAAAAGTTAAAAAAATGGGAAGATTTCCTGTGTATTCTCCACCCAAATTCCCCAAATGTTACCATTTCATTATATTTTTCTCTTTAAATCAAGCATAATAAAATGTATGTATGGGTGAACTTGAGAGTAGTTTCAGACATAGTGTCCTTTATCTCTAATAATTCAGTATGTATTCTCTTATATAATCACAATGTAGTTATCAAATGAGGAAATTAACATTGATATAATACTATTAGCTAATCTTCAGGGCTGTCAAATTTCTCCAGTTGTACAGTAGATATTTTTAGTTTTGCTTTCCTATGTTGAAATTTATTATTGTGAAATATTTGTTAAACAATGAAGCTATGGGAATATCTTTATGATAGTGGGTTTTTGTTTATTTTTTGCTAAATTATCTATCTGGTGATTATCCAGGCAAAACACAATTAGGAAATAAAATGTTCTTCCAACAGATAATCACCTAACATATAATCTTCTAGAAGTCCTTGGGCGATTACTGAACTTTTAAACTTTTATTAGCTTTGATTGCAGGTGTGAGAAGGAACACTCTGTAAATGGCATTTGAAGGCAAATTCAATTTTCTTCTCATCAGTAATATGGCCTTATAGTCTCCTAGGGTTAGTAGTATTGATCTACTCATCTACAGAGGCCATTTTTCATTTGGCATCGTATCTAAAATGGGAGCACTTGGTGTACATTTGTCCTAACTTGAGCAGTTTTGTTCAAAATGCCCCTTTCAGATTGTTTCTGTCAAATTTGTAGAAAATAAAAAGTGCAAAAAGGACTTTTGAAGTTTTCTAAATTCATATAAAAATGATGGCTGATGGATCTGGGAAAGAACCCTGACATCTTGCCATAGTCATGGAGTATGGGAGAGAGAATAGGTTTTTGGAACACCTCCAAAGGACTTTTCTGGCAACTCATGGTATTTTTGGCCCTTCAACTTCTTTTTGTTTCAGGGTGAGAAGATTTTCTACCTGATCCGCCCAACAAATGCTAATCTGACTCTCTTTGAGTGCTGGAGCAGCTCCTCTAATCAGAACGAGATGTTCTTTGGGGACCAGGTGGACAAGTGCTACAAGTGTTCCGTGAAGCAAGGACAGACACTTTTCATTCCTACAGGTCTTTCCTGGGCTCCTATGGGGGAGGTTTGGGGAAGTTGTAAAGAACAGAGCTGTGGCACCATAGTCAGTTTCTTCCCATAATGTATTATCCTGATTATGTGGGATATCTCTCTCATACCAGCTGAAGGCTGAGAACTAGACCTCAGGAAAATTCATGTGGTGGCCAGTAAGCAGCATGGTTGCTTGGGGGAGGTTGCAGATAGAGGGGTTAGGATGGGTGTCCAGGAGGAGGCTGGTGGAGTTCTTTGCATTGGGTTAATGTCAGTTTGCTAGACAGAGAACAGGCTTCTCTCTGCTCCCAGTATAGGAATAATTACTGGAAGGCTTATAGTCTAGTCAATAAATTAGAATAAACTGTGATGAGGGTGGAACATTTTTCCTTAAACAATATATATCTGGCTTTTACTTATAGAATTCTTAAATCTGAGATGGGATCTGAGTTTGGGTTTTTTTGAAATAATTCCCCAGTTGTCTCAGTTAGGGGAGAATTGACATCTTCACTTGATTAAGTCTTTCATGAACACAAATATCTCTTCATTTATTTAGATATCTCATGTCTTATATAATCACAATTATTGTGAAAATTTTTTGAAGTTGGTCTTTGGTAAAACTCTCTAGTGAAATCACATGGACCTGAAGATTTCTTTTTTCGGGAACTCTTTACTATTCAATTTCTTTAATATTTATAAGGCCATTAAATTGTCTATTTCATGTTAGATGAGTTGCAGTAATCTATGCTTTTCAAGGAATTGGCCTATTCTATATTTTTTAATTTTTTTGCAGCACTGAGGATAGAATATCTCAAGCACATAATCTACCACTGAACTATGCCTCCAACCTTATTGTATCTGAATTGTCAAATTTATGTGCATAGGCTAGGTATGGTGGTATGTGCTAGGTACTCAGAAGGCTAACGCTGGAGTATTGCTGCTCATGAATTTTTTAAAAATATATTTTTTAGTTGGAGATGGACACAATACCTTTAATTTATTTATTTGTTTTTATGTGGTTCTGAGGATCGAACCCAGTGCCTCACACATGCTAGGCAAGTTCTCTACCACTGAGCTACAACTCCAGCCTTGAGCTTTCATATGAGTTTGAGACCAGCATGTGTATCTTAGTGAGAGTACACCTCAAAAAATTTTCCTTAAAATTTATGTGTATATAGTTGTTCATAGTATTACCTTTTTGATGTCTTCCAGATCTATACTCTGTTTCCTTCCTGATATTATTTGTGCCTTCTCTTTTATTTGCATTAATCTTGTTAGAGTTGGTCTATTTCATTGATCTTTTTGAGAACCACCATTTGTTTCATTTATCTTTTCCATTTTTATTGATTTCTGCTTCTATCTTTATTTTTCCTTTCCTCTGCTTTCTTTGGACTTACTTTCCTCTCCTTTTTCTAGTCTTAATATGGGAGCTTAGATGATTGAAGACTTCCCTTTTTTAAAAAAAATATTTTTTACTTGTCAATGGGCCTTCATTTTTTCTTATTTACATGTGGTGCTGGGGATTGAATCCAGTTCCTCACACATGCTAGGCAAGCGCTCTAGCACTGAGCCACCACCCTAGCCCCTTTTCTGATGTAAGCATTTAGTGCTATAAATTTCCCTCTCAGTACTGATTTAGCTGTGTCACATATTTTGATATATTGTATTTTCATTCAGTTAAATTTGCTTTTGAAAAAAAATTTGAGATATAATTCACATAGCATAAAGTTTACTACTTTAAAGGGTACAGTTCAGTTGCTGAGGCAGGCTTTGAATTTGCAATCCTCCTGCCTCAGTCTTCCTGAGCATGCTACCATGCCTGGCAGCAGTCACTTAATATTCCTCCCTCCTCCCAGCCTTTGGCAACTACTTTTGTACTTCCTTTATGTATGAATTTTCTCCCTTGACTATTTTACATAAATGGAATCATGTAAATATGTTATCTTTTGTCTCTAGTCTCTTTCACTAAGCATGTTTTCAAAGTTCATCCATGTTATAGTATGGGTTTATAGTTTATGGGTTTATAGTTATGTTTATGGGTTCATGTTATAGTTCTTTGTTCTTTTGAATAGCTAAGTAATATTCTTCAGTGTGGGTTTTGCCACATTTTGTTTATCCATTCATCAGTTGATAGTTGAATTTTTGTATGATGCTGAAGATCGAACTCAGAGTGCTCTACTGCTGAGCTATATTCCCAGCTCCACCATTTTTTTTTGATTTATGAATAATGTTGCTATGAATATTCATGTATAAGTTATTGTGACAGCATAACAGATTGAGAATTTCTATTCTGAAAATATGAATTCTAAAACAATCTGTAATCTGAAACTTTTTAAAATGTGTGTGTGGTGCTGGAGATTGAACCTGGGGTTTTATGTATGGAAGGCAAGCACTATACCACTGAACCACAACTCTAAAATCTAAAACTTTTTGAGCACCAGCATAATACATGAAAACTTCACATCTGGCCTGGTCACATTCAAAACACGGCTAAAAATAAATAAAAATGCCTTTAGCATATGCACATAAGGTAAATATGAATCATAAATGAATTTCATGTTGACTTGCATCCCATCCCCAAGATGTTGAAACTTTGGGTCACAAGCATTTCAGATAAGGGATACTTAATCTGTATTTTCAGTGCTCCTGGTTATGTACATGGGAGGGGAATTGCAGGATGATACCGTCACTGTTTATCTTTTTGAGGAACTGCCATACTAGAACTGAAGCAGCTATATGTACTGTTTACATTCTTGGCAATAATATATGAGAGTTCCAATTTTTTTTATATCCTCCCTGATACTTGTCATTGTTGGTCTTTATGATTATAGCCAGCCTAGAAGGTATAAAATATTATCTCATTGAGATTTTGATTTCTGTTTTCCTAATGACTGTTGATGTTGAACATCTTTCCATGTGTTTGTTGGATGTTTGTATAACTTTTTTTTTTTTTTTTGCAAAATGTCTATTCAAATCCTTTGCCCATTTTGTGATTTGGTTGTCTTTGTATTATTGAGCTGTAAGAATTCTTTATACATTTTGGATATTGGACCTTTATCAGTTACTTTATTTGAGAATATTTTCTTTCATTCTTGGGAATTGTCTTTTTACTTTCCTAGTAGTATCCTGGGAAGCAAAAAAGTCATGAATTTTGATGCCCAGTCAATCTATTTTTCTTTGCTTATGCTTTTGATGTCTATCTGCAGAACTGTTGAAGATTTATGCCTCTGTTTTTCTTCCATGTGTTTTATAGTTCTCTTATTCATATATTTAGATATTTTATTAATTTTGAGTTAATTTTTATATATGGTATGAGAAAAGCATTCAATTTCATTATTTTCCATGTAGAATACCCTGTTGTCTAAGACCATTTGAAAATTTTTTCTTCCAATGAATTATCTTGACACCTCTATCAAAAATCAGTTGATACAGATATATGGATTTATTTCTGGACCTTGAATTCTGTTACATTGATTTGTATCCTTGCGACAGTAACACTGTTTCAATTATACATTTGTAGTAAGTTTTGAAATTGGGAATTTTTAATTCTCCAACTTTTTTTTCAAGATTGTTTTGACTCTTCTGGGCCTCTCAAATTTTATTTGCTATAGTTATTTTTAGTGGTTGGTCTAGTTATTAACATTATATATTTATAGCTTATCACAGTCTACTAGTATTTGCATTTTGGCAGTTTAAGGGAAGGGTTTTGGTCTCATATTCTCTGAAGTAATCTCAGGGAGCCCAAGAATGACCTGGACCACACCTAGAGAACAGTGAATGTAGAGGAGCCAGTTTGGAGGTTGTTGCAATAGCCAAGATGAGAAACAATGAGGGATCTGAACCAAGGCATTAGTATGATGGAATAGAGGGAGAAAGGGAAATAAATATGGAAAAGATTTAAGAACAAAAATCACAAGGTTTCAGGAAGAAAAGGGCCACATGGAAATTGTGTTCTAAATGGGTGCATGTTTCACAACCAACCTGTAAAATAGATATTTAGCCAGGAAATTGCCGAATTTGCACCCAGGTCTGTATAGCACAAAAGTTATTTTTGTTTTTCTCTGGGTAGAGTTAAAAGGAGGCATTATGGCAAGGAGGTGATATCCTTAGAGATGAGAGAGTGGTGAGACAAGAGTAAGATTTTTTTGTAGAGGGGAAAGAGGCAAGTGGAAGTTGTTTAACCTCATAGGTTGATTCAGTTCAGGATTATAGTGATGGCAGACTAGGCCAGGTTGGGTATTGAAATGGTAGAAGAACTAAGAATGTTCTGAGTCACTCTTAGGCAAACTGTTAAGGAGTTGAGATTAAACTGAGCAAGCAGTAGGGATGTCAGGAGGAAGAAATGTCTTCTGCCAGCTATGATTTTTGCCTTATTAACTTTGCAGGTTGGATCCATGCTGTTCTTACCCCTGTGGACTGCCTTGCCTTTGGTGGGAATTTTTTACACAGCCTTAACATTGAAATGCAGCTCAAGTAAGTCCTGAAGTTGGTCATCCCTATCCACCAGAATTCTTGAGCTCTTCCATAAAGTGAGCAGTACAGTATAATAAGAGGCAGGACAATCAGAAAGAATGGATTCTGGTTCCTGATAATGTTCAGCTTGAGAAAATATCTTTTCCTCACTTAGTAATTATGTGACTTTAGGTAAGTCATATAACTTTTGAGGCTAAAGTTTTCTACTGTATAATTCAAGGTTTTATGGGTTTATTGTGAGAATCAGAGATAGATACATGGCATCCAGAATAATACCTGGTTCATAGCACGTGCTCAGTAAATGGATCCTTGTAATTGTTATGTCTCCTCTTTCCAGAGCCTATGAGATTGAGAAGAGGCTAAGCACAGCAGATCTTTTCAAGTTCCCCAACTTTGAGACCATCTGTTGGTATGTGGGAAAGCACATTCTGGATATATTTCGAGGTATGGAGCCCTTTGCCAGCTCTTCCTTTTGCCCGGCTCGAGAGAGAGAGAGAGAGAGAGAGAGAGAGAGAGAGAGAGAGAGAGAGAGAGAATGAATATGAATAACTATCACCTCAGATTAGATACAGTGGTATTCTATCACCACAAAGACCTCACCATGTATATCAAAACATCATGTTGTACACCTTAAATGTAAACAAAAAATGTAAAAACCAGTAAATTGCTACTTTAAAAATGTTTCTAATAATATCCCTTTAGACTATCACCCACTTTCTTCCCCTGCTCTATCCATAATTTCTGAAAACCAATATTTTCCATCTCTACAATTTTATCATTTCAAGAATACTATATAAATGAAATCATACAGTGTATCTTTGGAGTTTTTTTTATTCAGCATAAGGTATGGCAGAGCATGGATTTAAATATATTTTTTTAAATTTTTGGTACCAGGAATTGAGCTCAGAGGCACTCAACCACTGAACCACATACTCAGCCCTATTTTGTAATTTATTTAGAGATAGGGTTGCACTGAGTTGCTTAGCAACTCACTTTTGCTGAGGTAGACTTTGAACTCACAATCCTTCTGCCTCAGCCTTCTGCTCCACCACCATGCTCAGCTTAAATCTTTTGTTGTTGTTGTTGTTTACCAAATATAGCTGAAAAAATTGGATCACAGTGAAATTATCACTATTTCCTGCTAGTTAAGGTCAGAAACACAGTTTGGATTAGTCAAGGAGTTTCCTGGATGTGTTTTCCATAGCAATAAAGATGAGTACTGACCATCCTGGCATCATGTTGATTCCTGGGTATCAGCCCAGATAGATGCCAACTTAACTGGTTTCCTCTTTCTTAGTCTGTTCTGAAATAGAATGAATCCCTTGTTCCGGCCTGAGACTTGTTATTTTTTTAAGGTGACTTGGCTAGGAGGAATCAGTATTTCAGAGTTACAAAGGACCTAAGAGCCCAATGAGTATAGTTTCCTACTCAGTACCTTAAACCCTTATTCTACCACCTGGATAGACTCTGACTTAAGTGTTCAATCAGGAATACTGCCTACTTATTACCTATCCTGAAGAACTTGTTTTTGTAGAAATCCTTTATAGAGCTTAAACCTGTTTTATTTTTTACATATTTATTTATTTTAGTTGTACACAATACCTTTGTTTCTATTTATTTATTTTTATGTGGTGCTGAGGATCAAACCCAGGGCCTCACATGAGCTAGGCGAGCACTCTACCGCTGAGCCATAACCCCAGCCCTTAAATCTGTTTTTTTTTTAATTAAAGCCTATCCTGAAGAAAGGTAAAACACAGATAATCCATCTTCTACACTGATGATTCTTTAAATCTGTAGTAATTATGGTCCTCCCAAGTGTTCTCATTTTGAGACCTAAGAGGCAGAGTAATGCAATGGTAGGATCACAGCCCCAGAAACAAATAGACATGGTTTAAGTCTTGGCTCTAGTATTTATCACATATGTACATCCTTCTTTGAGTTTCAGTTTCCTAAACTGTAAAAAGAAGATAATAATTCCTGGCTTGCAGGGTGGATATAAGGATTAAATAAGATAATAGATGTTAAGTGCCTAGCCTGTAAGTAAGTGGGTTCTCAGCAAGTGAATACTGTTAGAATAACTGAGATCTTGAGTTGAGCTCAGAACCCTGAGCATTTTTCTGGTTCCTGAACAAAGTGAAGTTCTTCACTTCCCTGCATGGGTTTTGTTGATATTACATTCTTCTTTCTCCCTTTAGGTTTGCGAGAGAACAGGAGACACCCTGCCTCCTACCTGGTCCATGGTGGCAAAGCCCTGAACTTGGCTTTTAGAGCCTGGACAAGGAAAGAAGTAAATATTTCTATTTCTATACCTCCTCAGGAGTTCTGCACTCTGTAGGGACTGGCTTTGTATAGATAGATACTTTGGTGAGATAGAAAAAAGAAAAGAGGCTTGTAGCCTCCTGGATATAGAGTAGAATTCTGGACTAGGATTCCTTGAATTACTTTATTTATTTATGGTACTGTGAGTTGAACCCAAGGGTACTCTATTACTAAGCTATATCCTCAGCCAATTTTATTTATTTTTGAGATGGGGTCTCACTATGTTGCCCAGGCTGACCTTAAATTTCAGTCCTCCTGTTTTAGTCTCTCAGGTAACTGGGATTACAGTCATGTACCACCATACCAGGCTCCTTCTGGTCTTTTTTGTGTATTTTTAAAAAATAATTGCTATTGCATTGTACACTCAATTTTGTATGAGAGTCTGTTGGAATACCTTAATTTTCCTGTGTTATTCCAGAGTTATCCATAAACATTAGTAGTTTAAATTTTATTCTTTAAAAGTTACATTATATTCTTTTACGAGGACATACCATCTTTACCTAATCACTTGCTTATTGTTGCTTCCTTTTTATTTATTTGGAGGAATGTAGTCACAGAAAATCATACAATGAATATCTATATGCATCAGTCTTAGTCCCTTATCTCCCCCCACTTATCTATGTTTTAAAAAATATTTTTCAGTTGTAGATGGGCACAATATCTTTATTTATTTATTTTTATGTGGTGCTGAGGATTGAACCCAGTGCCTCACACATGTGAGGCAGGTGCTCTATCTGAGCTACAGCCTCCCGCCTTGTCTCTTAATTTTTCCTTCAGAATAGATTCCTGGAAGATCAATTACTAGATTGAAGTCTATGAAAAAATATAAGGCTCTTGATACATGCTGCCAAAATGGTATTTTAGAAACATATCAATATCTGTCTACCCAACTGAGTACTAAGTAGGTATAAAAGAGAATAAGAAAACTATGTACTGATTTCCAGAATTTGTCAAGTAAAGATGCAGAATTGTATATATAGTATGCTACCTTTAATATGTTCAAGGACAGAAACAATAATTGTTTTTGTGTATACTCATATTTGCCTGAAGATACAACATGGAAGAGTTTAGAAACTAAGAAAGTGGTTACCTGTTGTGTAGAGATTATGGGGCTGATGTCAGAGACAAGGTAGGAGTGAGGCCATACGTATATATATACACGCACACGAGATTTTTGAACCCTGTGAATTGACTACATTTTCAAAATTTTTAAACAACCGACTTTAAGAAATACAAAAATTAGAATAAATAACAGTACATATTTAGGCTTCAAATATTCTACCAACTTCTTCCCTTTCATACAGTGACTTAAGAGTACCTTTTATCCATTGTGGGCTTAACCTGCACAATCTCTCCATTTTCTGTTGCCAGACTTCCCCACAGATATTTTTAGACTTTATGTTTAGGGCCTTCTCTTACTCCCTAAATTCACCTATACCTGGGCTTTAGACTATGATTCTGCTTCTATGCACTCTTCAGGCATGGCTACCTTTAATTTCACCTCTGATCCCTCCCATGAAGTAAACTTCAGAGTGATTCTGTCCTAGGAACAGCAAAAGGGAAGTGGGTGGGTGAATAATTAAGCATTCATGCCCTGAGTCAGAATGGACCTGGGGACCAAGTAATGGCCCTGAGCAGCATCACCAAAGGGGGTTGGGGGAGAGTAGGATGCAGTTCTGAGGAATCCACTCTCAAGAAGAAGTCTTTTGTGAAAGCCAGGTGACTTTCATAGGAGGCATTTCTTCCCTCACATTTCCAGAGTCCCTGGTCTGGGGGAGAAGGAGCCATTAAAGCTTATCCAGCTGGGTCACTTGGGTTTCCAGCCACCTAAATAATTCTAGATATATTACAAAAAGGGGGGAAAGAATAAGACCATGAGAAACAAGAAGGAGATGCTGAGAAATTTGTCAAAGTCAGTCCTCTGGATTACAGAAGTGAAATGAAAAGTGGTGGAAGAAATCACAAGGGAAAACTTTGCAATCATCAAAAAGACGGTACACATTGGCATTCTCCTGTAATCCCAGGTACTCATGAGGCTGAGGCAGGAGGATTGCAAGTTTGAGGCCATCCTGGGCAACTTAATGAGCCCTGTCTCAAAAAATAAAAAAGGGCTGGGGGATGTAGTTCAGTGTTAGAGCATCCCTGGGTTTAATTCCCAGTACTAAAGTAAACAACTATCAGGTATCTACCTGGGTAGCTGTTGCACTTGCCGTGGGCCTGTAGGTGCGCAGTGAGCACTGAGTTCTGTCCTCCCAAGTGGAAGGGATTGCTTGTTCCCATTGATCTTAAGATTAAAGTCCTTGGCTTTATAAGGTCTGTGACCCAAGCCCACAACTGAATCCCTCATGTTTCTTGATACTGTCCTTTATCAGATATATGTTTTACAAACATTTTCTTTCAATCTGTGTCTTGTCTCCCAGTACTAGAAGTTTTTCAAATACAAATTCTTTTTGGTGGGGGGGCACGTGTGCTGGGGATTGAACCCAGGATCTTGTGTTAGCTAGACAAGTACTCAACCACTAAATGACATCCTCAGCCCCAAGGTTTGTTTTTTTTTTTTTTTTTTGGTAGGTGGAGGGTACCAGGGATTGAACTCAGGGGCAGTTAACCACTGAGCTACATCCTCAGCCCTATTTTGAATTTTATTTAGAGACAGGGTCTCACTGAGTTGCTTAGCACCTCTCTTTTGCTGAGGCTGGCTTTAAACTCTTGATCCTTATGCCTCAACCTCCTGAGCTGTTGGGGATTATAGTCATGCTCCACCGTGCCCAATCTCAAGGTTATTTTTTATTTTTATTTTTTAGTTGTAGTTGGACACAATACCTTTATTTTATTTATTTTAATGTGGTGCTGAGGATCGAACCCAGTACCTCGCACGTGATAGGTGAGCACTCTATCGCTGATCCACAACTTCAGGCCCTCAAGGTTATTTTTGATAAATCCAAATGATCATGTTTTTCTTTTCTGGTTCATGCTAGTTGTGTCTTAAGAAATCTTTGCCTAGCCAAAGGCCACAAAGATATTCCCCTCTATTCTAAAGGGTTTATAGTTTTAGGTTTTACATTTAGGTCTGTGATCCATTGCATATGGGATGGAAGGGGAGTGTAAGAAGTGAACTGAGTTTTTTGTTAATGTGTGGAAATCTAATTGGTCCAGTACCAGTTTTTAGAAAAAAGAGTACCCTTTCTCAATTGAATTGCCTTGCCTGGTTTGTTGAAAATTACAACAAATGAGCCATTTGTGTGTGGGTCTATTTCTCGTGCCTCTTGTTTGACAGGCTCTGCCAGACCATGAAGATGAGATCCCGGAGACGGTGCGGACCGTACAGCTCATTAAAGATCTGGCTAGGGAGATCCGCCTTGTTGAAGTAAGAAACATTGGGGGAGGGAAGGCATTTGGGAAGGGCTCGAGACTCAAGTGTCAGGTCAGGACTTTGTAGTTGGCATAAAGCCCAAGGGAAGGGTTGGAAAGAACCCACCAAGGGGTCAAGTCAGTCATTAAGGTAATTATTATGTGCTTCAAATGTATGTAATGCATTGGGCAAGGCTCTTAATATACATGAATAATGCAGGGCCTGTCCAACAAAGAACTCCTAGTTAAGAAGAAGATCCTGAACAAAATTAACCTCTCCAAGCCTCAGTTTCCTGAACATCTTTAAAATGAGGATAATTGTACCCAATCAAGTATTGTTAGTAGGAATAAATAAAGTTTGAGCATTTAGTATATAGTGCTTGGCACATAGTAGGTGCTCAAATTCTGGTGGTGGGTGGTGGTAGTGGTAGATATAGTTGTTGTTATTATTAATATTTTTACTCAGTCTCTGCATTCTACAAAATGACAGTTCTCTCGGGTTGAAGATGATTACAAAGCCATGTTTCAACAGGTGGCATATACTACGAGGCAGTAAGGTATAGTGGTAAGAGACTCAGAGAAACCTGGGTTTCTAGTTCCTGCTGTGTCACTTGAAAGCCTTTCAGAGCCTAGTTTCTCCATCTTTAAAATGGGAACCAACTTTACCAACCTTTCAGAACTTTGGTACAATTAATAGCTAATATATGTAGAGCTCCTTCACACAGTGCCTGGCAGAGTAAGTACTCAATAAATGTGAGCTGTTGTTATTAATAGACTTCGTAGCAGAGAGAACTCAGTGTGGGCTGGTGAAGTAGCAGACACACCAGAGGAGAATTGGACTTGAGGATATTTAGTCTTTTTCGCTCAGGAGCAGTAAAGTTCCATTTTAGCACCCAGGGCATGCATCTATGCTTAAGGGTGGTCAAGTGAGCTACTAGAAGTTGGACTTCTAGCCACACTGCTTGCAGTGTTTCAGTCCCCAGCACAAGTGTGTCCACAGTGTCCACCTCCTACCTCATTTTCCTTCACTCCAAGTGTTAAAATCCTTCAGGATTTAGTTAAGGCCTACCTTTTCTTCAGCTCTTCCCACTCAAGTCAATCTTGGACACACAGTATACTTTGGGCTTGTTGAAAGAGAACTTAGAGCAATCTGGTCCATTGGCTTTCAAATGTTTTAAAGTAACAGAATCTTCTTTTCAAATGAAATCTTGTGTGGAAGCCCTGTGTATACAATGAGTCAAAGCACAGCTGCTTTGATTAAGATGAAGGTGGGAGGCTTAGGGCTCTATTTGTTCTTCTCATCTGTTTTCCACCTACCTTCAGTCCCTAGAGCTTCTCCCCAAAAGCTCTAAAGAATCCCAGAAATATTTGTAAACCTCCTGTCCAGTCTAGTCCCTTAATTTTAGAACTGAGCAAACAGAACTTCAGGGTAGTCAGGTAACTTTCCTGCGTCACATAGCTAGCTAATAGCAAAATTAGGTTTGAAACCTCTCTCCTCCTCTCCAATCCTATAGTCCTAAAAATTTGAATCACATAGTTTAATAGTTGATTATTTTCTGTTGTATGTCAGCTACTCTTGGAGTTGTTTCTCTCCAATTTTGACAATAGTGCTGGACCTTTCTTTTGCTCGTCTTCTCCTTATTTGTCAATGCCTGGGCAAAGAAATGCCACCCAATAAATTCTTGATGACTTGTGTAAAAACTAGGGTGTGCATATGTGGAGCATTTGTAAGCTACTTCCATGGCAGTACTGCGAGTGCCGGGAACAGACCTCTGCTCTTAGCATAGAGAACCCTTGAGTAAGCTCTAACCCCCTCATGTACTAACACTCTTGTAGGACATCTTCCAACAGAACGTTGGGAAGACGAGCAATATCTTTGGGCTGCAGAGGATCTTCCCAGCCGGCTCCATTCCCTTAACCAGGCCAGCCCATTCCACTTCAGTGTCCATGTCCAGGCTGTCACTGCCCTCCAAAAGTGTTCCAAAGAAGAAAGTCCTGAAGCCCAAGGAACTCTTCAAGAAGGCAGAGCGAAAGGGCAAGGAGAGTTCAGCCTTGGGGCCTGCTGGCCAGTTGAGCTATAATCTCATGGACCCATACAATCATCAGACACTGAAGACAGGCTCTTCCCAGAAAGCAAAGGTGGGTGCTGGCCCATGGGTTCAGCCCAACCCTTTTGGGTCCCTTGGAAGAGCAGAGTTTCAAAAGGACAGACTATCCTGTCTTGCTCCCACTTCCCTTAGGATCCCTAGTGTTTGGCTACCAGTCCCACTTATTTAACAAGCATTTATTGAGACCTTTTCTATGCTGGGCACTGTGATAGGTGCTGTGGATGTAACTCTCAAGAGACTGATAGGTTAGTGAGAAAGATAGGGATTAAAACAAATGAATGCAATGAAGTGTTGTGGATGCTACAATGAAGGGTATGTGTGGGATCCTGAGAGACAGAGGTGGGTTGAGTCTGTCTTAGTAGGAGAGATGATCAGGAGCTCTTTTCTAAAAAAAATATGACATTTGAGCTGAATCTTGAAATGCCAGGATTGAAATGAGATTTTAGGACATTGTGTGTCAGATTGGAGTCTTGAACAGGTCCTTGAGAAAAGCCCTCCCCCAGGGGTCCACCTTTCATCAAGATTATGGTGCCCTCCATGGGCATGTGAAGATGCCCTTCTCCTTTTTTTTTAGGGAACATGTTTTACAAGATTGGTAGATTTCCCCTGAGCCATACATTCTCAACATCCTACTCCTGTGATTATTGGGTGGCGGGGGGGAGATATAGTAGAAGGTTCAGGGGGTTTTGACAGTGAACTCAACCAGTGAAACCAGAGGGAACTGGCCATCTTCATTCACCTCGGAGTCTCAGACTGGAGACAACTGAGCCTCCTCCTCCTGCAGTTCAACATCACTGGTACCTGCTTGAATGACTCAGATGATGACTCACCAGACATGGACCTTGATGGGAATGAGAGCCCGCTGGCCCTATTGATGGCTAATGGCAGGTGAGGTGGAAAAAAGAAAAACAGTTTTTGGGATGTCAGTGGCAATATGCCACTAAGATAGGGAGTGGAATTGGGACCCAGGGGTTTGACAAGGGTGGGGGAGGGCTGTACTTAGGGCAGTACCCAGATATTATCATGTATCATTGCTTATATTAGAGCATCATGGTGGGTAGGAGCAGGGTTGAGGAATCTAATTGGCAATTCTGAGAAAATGCTTATATAAATCTAGAATTTCAGTAAGTCAGTGGGATGGAACCACTGGCTGAAAAAAAAAAGTATTTTATTGGTCAGAAGCATTAGTGTTTTATATACCTTTTGACTTGTGATTTGATTTTTGGAATTTTGTTTATAGAAATCTTTGCACAAGTGTATAAAGAGAAATGTTCACTGCTCAACTGCATCACTATTTGTAGTAATAATTAGAAATGCTCAAATATTCATCAGTGAATGTTAGATATATAAATTATGATATGTCTTACAGAATGGAATACCATGTAGTTGTTTGAAAGAATGGGACATTTTTAATATCCATTGACACAGAAAGATGACCAAGATATATCCATATATCTATAAGTATATCGATCTATCTATCTATCTATCTATTTTTTGAGATGGGGTTTTGCTATGTTGTCTAGGCTCTTCTTGAACTCCCGTACTTAAGGGGTGCTTCTACGTTAGCCTCCTAAGTAGTTGGGACTACAGAGAGTTCAGCCTTGGGGCCTGCTGGCCAGTTGTGCCCCGCTTCAAGATATATTCTCAACTGAAAAAAATTAGGTTACAAAATAATGTATAAGAATAGTTCCATTTTATTTTTTAAAAAGTCATGTATGCACACATGTATGTGTATGCATATGTAGTCCTTTGTTTGAATCCCAACTCTGACACCATATTTACTGTGACACTTTGGTAATTCAATTCATCTTTCTGCATCTTAGTGTTGTCATTTTATCTGTTCTACATATGAAGCTTGCTTTAGGATTAAATAACACAATATGTGTGAAATTCTTATTATGGTGCCTGGCACATAGTAGATGCTTAATAAATGGTAGTTCTTATCAAAGTGCTGATAAAATGGAGATCAAAGGTAATGACGATGATGTGGGTATGGCCAGAAGCTAAGTAGTTCATCAGTAAACCCTGAAATATGTAGGGAAGCAGAGGCAGGGGAGAGCAGTAAGGGCTATCACCTGGATACTCAGAACACTATAGACAGCAAAGTCAAGAGTCAAGTACAGAGTATGAATAATGTAGAAACACAATGATGATACTTTAATAGCCTTTTTGTAGAAAAGGGCTCACTTTAAATCTCAAGGGAGAGTGTAGTGTGTAGTAGTTCTGTGTGGCTGGAAAATAAGAAAATGGAGTAAGGGTAGAGCAGATTCTGAAAGCACAACTGTTCTTGGGGTTTGAAAACTGAGTTACTGAAGAGTAAGATTACAGAAAATTTTGAGCATTGCCTTCGTTCAGAATTCCTGGTAGGTTTCCTGGAGAGGAAAAAATTGAGAGCCCTAAAACTTCAGTTTATAATGGCCATTGAGAATACTGGGAGATATTCCCCCTTCCCCACCAGTCTTTCTCTTATGCTGCTTCTCTTACCTGCTGCAGCTGTCAGAAGCTATCATTAAGTGAATAGTATCAAGGTGTAGAAATATTTACAGATCATAATGATAATATGTTTGGGCTTTTCTTCAAATTCAGTGTTTTGCAGGGAGTGAGGTGTAGATGAAACGAGATTCACTGTATGTTCACACTTGTTGAAATTTAGCTAGGTACTAGATGGGAGTTCATTGTATATTTTTATTTTTGTATATGTTTGAAATTTTTCATAATTAGAAGTTAAAAGATAAGGGTATGAATAACATTTATTGAGCATCTGTGTTGTATCAAACTCTATCTTAGCTATTTACATTTTATTTAGTCCTCAAAACAACCATCAAGATATTGTTATACCCATTTTACTTAAGTGATAACTGAGGCCCAAACAGCTTAATTGTACTAGTAGCCACCATTGGGCACTTGTCATGCATTAACTCATTTTATATTCCAACAAGTGTATGAGATAGAAAATAGGTCAATTTAATATTAGTTCTCTGAAAGATACTTCAACAAAAATGAGTATTAGATGAATGTGTGAATATACTGATTTATCAGAAACTTGTTTTCTTTAAAAAAACTGTTTAATATTGTTTACCATATATAACAGGATTGCTGAAGCCATTTTTTGCATTTTTTTTCATTTCCTCCATAGATATGTATTTTTGATAGACATACTTTTTGTAACATATTTATGAGGTACGCTGTGATGCTTTGATTCATAATACACTAGGTAGTTATCAATCCAGAATAATTATTTTCTTTTTTTTTAGTTGTAGGTGGACAGCATGCCTTTATTTGTTTAGTTCTTTATGCAGTACTAAGGATTAACACCTAGTGCCTCACACATACTAGGCAAACGCTCTGTCACTGAGGTACAGACCCAGCCCAATTATTTACTTTTTAATTTTTTTCTTTTTGTACAAGGGCTTGAATGTGGGATAGGGGAAGTTTCCACTGAGCTATATCCCCAGTCTGAGTAATTATTTCATTATGATGCATACAAGTTCCTCTTTTTAACTATTTTGAGATTATAACGTGTTTCTATTAGGTAGAACAGAACCCTGCCATGCTGTAGAATGTCCGAACTTATTCATCTTCTCAACCAATAATTATGTACCCATCAATTGACTTCTTTATTTTCCCCTTTCTCATTTTCTCCCTGGTCTCTGGTAACCAACCACTACTCCATTATCAACTTTTATGAAATAAACTTTTTAGGTTCTTCTTATGAGTGGGATCTTTTGAGGTATAATTTATATACCATAAAACTAACTTTCAGGGGCTGGGGTTGTAGCTCAGTGGTAAAGTGCTTGCCTAACAAGTACAAGGCATGGGGTTTGATTCCTGGCACCATATAAAAATAAAAACAAATAAAATAAAGGTATTGTGTCCATCTAAAAAAAACATAGCCTGTTCCAAGTATACAATTAAATGAATTTTAGTAAATTTATAGAATCATGCATCCATCACCACAATCCAGTTTTTTGTTTGTTTGGTGATGGAGATTGCACCTAGCATTCACACATGCTAGGCATGCACTGTACTACTCAACTAAATCTTAAACCCCAAAATCCAATTTTAGAACATCTCTTTCATGCTCAAAAGATTCCGTATGACCATGGGTACTCATTCTCATACAGTCTCTAGCAACTGCTGATTTTCTTTCTGTCTGTAAATTTGTTTTTGTGGATATTTCACATAATGAAATCAAGTAACATGGCTTCTTTTGGGGCATGATATTTTTCATATTCATCAATGATTTAGCATGTTTCATTAGTTGGTTCCTTTTTATTGTTGAATAGTATTGTGTTGTATAGATATACCACTTTCATTTATCCATTCACAAATTAATAGTCTTTTGAATTGCTTCAACTTTGGAGCTATTCTGAATAATGAATGATGTTCTAAGCATTCATGTTCAAGTTTTTGTGTGGACATATACTTTGGCTTCTTACTTAGAAGTAAAATTGTTAGATCATATGATAACTCCATGTTTAGCTTTTTAAAAAACCATCCAACATTATTCTAAAGTGTCTGTACCATTTTAATTTCCACTAGCAATCATGAGTTTCTGAACATACTGGCCACCACTTGTTATTGCTTGCCTTTTTGATTATAGCTATTCTGGTGGGTATAAAGGGGGTACCTCATTGTGTTTTTAAAAAAATATGTAAATTGTGTGTGTTTGTGTGTGTGTGTGTGTGTGTGTGTGTGTATATATATTTCCCCCCTGTGGTCTTGGGGATCAAACCTAGGACCTGGCACATGCTAGCTAGGTAAGTGCTCTACCACTGAGCTATATACACATCCTTCAAAATTATATATACTTAAGGTTTACAGTATGATGTTTTTGATATTCATCTACATTCTGAAATATCAAACTAATTATTACTTCCATCACCTCACATACTTTCCATCTCTGTGTATATATGTGTGTTTGTATTAAGAATACAAATATTTTAGGAAATTTTAAGTACCTAGTATAGTAGAATTGATTAGAGTCACTTTGCTGTATATTAAATCTCTAGAACTTATTCATCCTACATAAGTGAAATTTTGACCAATGTCTCTCCTACCTTATCTTACCCCTAATACTAACTATTTTACTCTTTGCTTCTATGAATTTGACTTTTTTAGATTTCACTTTTAAGTGAGATCATGCAGTATTTTTCATTCCATGTTTGGTTTGCTTCACTTAGGAGAATGTCTTCTAGGTTTATCCATGTTGTCACCAGTGTCAGGATGGTTTTGATTTGCATTTTCCTAATGACTACTGATGTCAAGTATCTTGTATGATTGTGGCCATTTGTACATATTACCTTTGGAGAAATGTCTATTTAGATTTTTTGCTTGCCTTTTTTTTTTTTTTTTTTGTACTGAGGGTTGAACCTAGGGGCGCTTAACCACTGAGCCACATCCTGAGCCCTTTTTAAATATTTTATTTAGAAACAAGGTTTTACTAAGTTGCTGAAGCTGGCTTTGAACTTGTGATCCTCCTGCCTTAGTCTCCTGAGCTACTAGGATTGCAGGCGTACACTGTCTTGCCTGGCTTTTGTTTGCCTTGACTTGTCTTACTACTAAATTCTAAGAGTTCTTTAAATATTCTGTGTACAGTTCCTTTACCTGATAAATAATCTTTAAATTCTTTTCAATCTGTGGCTTGACTTTTTGTTCTTTTGTTCTTGTTTTGTTTTGAGACAGGATCTCGGTATGTTGCCCAGTCTTGTCCTAAATTCCTGGCCTCAAAAGATCTTCCTGCCTTCAGCCTCCCAAAGAATTAGGCTTCAGGCATATGCCACCATGCCCAGCCTTACTTTTTATTTTCTTAATGGTTTTGTTTGAAGCACAAAAAAAATTCATTTTTACCTAATTCCAGGTCACAAAAACATTTTCCTCTGTTTCCTTCTATGAGTTTTATAGTTTTAGCTTTTATATTTAGATCTATGATGCATTTTGAGTTAACCTTTCTGTATCATGTGAGGTAAGGGTGCTCATTAATTTCTTTGCATCTAAATATCCAGTTGTCATAGCACTCTTTGTTGCAAGAATCATCCCACACTGAATTGCCTTAATACCATTGTCAAAATCAGTTGACCATAAATTTAAGAGTTTTTTTCTGGACTTTCTATTTTTTTCCACTAAACTATTTAATAGTCTGTTCTTGTTCCAGTATTACACTCCCTTGATTGCTATAACTTTTTAGGTTATAATTTTGAAATCGGGTAGAGTCAGTTCTCTGATCTTTATTCTTTTCAAAATAGTGTTGGCTACTTTAAATCCTTTGCATGTCTATGTACTATTATTTTGTCATTTACAGAACAGCTGGTTGAATTTTGTTAGGGACTGCATTGAATTTATAGATCAATTTGGGGAGAATTACTACCTTAATTTTTTTTTTCTGGTGCTGAGGATTGCACACACCAAGCATACATTCTACCATTGAGCCCTGTCCCGTTACATGACTCTTTTTATGTTCTCTTTCCCTTTCTCTCTAGTACTAAGAGGGTGAAGAGTTTATCCAAATCTCGGAGAGCCAAAATTGCCAAGAAGGTGGACAAGGCAAGGCTGGTGGCTGAACAGATGATGGAGGATGAATTTGACTTGGATTCAGATGATGAATTGCAGATTGATGAGAGATTGGGAAAAGAGAAGGCTACCCTGATAATAAGATCAAGTATGTATCTGTTTTTTCTCTTTCTTGTCCTACCCATTTTACATTTGTTTTTGGCTCCCTTGATAAACTCAAAACCTTAGGCCTGAGCTTGTTGGCATTCTGATTTACCAGGCTGTGTAGTTCTCCATCATTTTCTTTCCTTTAGAGGTTTAATTTTCAGTTAATTCCACACGTCTCTTTCTTTTTGTGTGTGTGTGGGGGGGTGGTAACCAGGGATTGAACTCAGGGGCACTCGGCCACTGAGCCACATCCCCAGCCCTGTTTTATATTTTATTTAGAGACAGGGTCTCACTGAGTCACTTAGTGCTCACTGTTTCTGAGGCTAGCTTTGAACTTGCGATCCTCCTGCCTTAGCCTCCAAGAAATTTAGTCTTATTTTCTTTCCTCTGATTTTTTATCTTGGATGCTAATCTTAGTTTCATGATAAGTATATTCCATTGCTTTTTAGAATTTCCCCGGAAGTTGCCCCGTGCTAAGCCATGCTCTGACCCCAACCGAGTTCGTGAACCAGGAGAAGTTGAGTTTGACATTGAGGTAGGTGCCTGCTCTGTGTCCGGTCTTGTGTTCATTCTGGTCACAGAGACAGAAGACAGGTTATCATTCTAGTTGAAAAGGGGGCAAAGATATCCTATGCATTCAATTATTTTTTTTGGGGGGGATAGGGTGCTGGGGATTAAACTCAGGGGCACCCGACCACTGAGCCACATCTCCAGCCTTATTTTGTATTTTACTTAGAGACAGTGTCTCACTGAGGTGCTTAACATCTCATTTTTTGCTGAGGCTGGCTTTGAACTCTCAATCCTCCTTCCTTAGTCTCCCAGGCTGCTGGGATTACAGGCATGCACCACTGTTCCAGCTACAATTCTTGAAATATTTATTAAGTAAAAGATTGTATACTGTGCAGCATGTAAAGGAATATTACAGTTTAGCTGAAAAATTTAAAAACCCTGTAATACAAAAGAGAATAAAATGCAATGTGATATAGAAAAAAGTTATCTGATACAACTTGCACAAATCATTTTACTTCACTAGACTGTTTTCCCTATTTATAAAATAGAAGGTATACTGCTTCACAAAGATGTTTTAGAGATTAGGATGAAAGAATAAATACTTTGCTTAGTACTCTGTCTACACTTGGTGCTCAGAAGATATTAGGAGTCAAATTGTCCATCTTGTATCGGGGCCTCAGCAGACCAACCCTGGGCAGCTGAGTTGATGTGCTCTCTCCCCCCAACAGGAGGACTATACAACAGATGAGGACATGGTTGAAGGGGTTGAAGGCAAGCTTGGGAATGGGAGTGGAGCTGGTGGAATTCTTGATCTACTTAAGGCCAGCAGGCAGGTGGGGGGACCTGACTATGCTGCCCTCACGTGAGTACTGTCTTTGATCTCCCATTTCCAGGAAATGAGACAGCATCACCCTCTCCCATCCAAGGAGCTAGGCAGCTATTCATCATGTATTTATTGATCCATTTAAATGGACAAAGAATTATCCAGAGCATTTAGGCTGAAAGAATAAAGTAGACATGAAACCTGTCTCAAGGAACTTCAGATCTGACAGTGATAGGGTGGATAGACTTCAAAGGGGCATCAGTTCTGTGCTCTTTGGAAGTTGGAAGAGAGGCCAAAAGAGTCAGAGAAGGATGACTTTTAAAAAAGGAAAAAATGCAGCATTGTTGAACAGGGAAGGTGGAGTGCCCCCTTTTTGCCATCTTGCTTGCTGTCTGTGGAGAGAGATTTGAGGCTAGAAGGACTGGCTTTTCAGGAAAACAGTCTTTGTTACTGTCTTGATCCATTACCTTGATTCCTAGTTTTTCATCCTGGATGGTTCTCTCCTTCATCCTACCTTGATCCCCACAGCTGATGTGTCCCTCTTCCCTGACTGTTCTGATAACTGGTTTCTTCTGATAGCTAGAGAAACTTCCTTAGCATTTCTCCTCTTTCCCTTGCAGCGAGGCTCCAGCCTCCCCCAGCACTCAGGAGGCCATCCAGGGCATGCTGTGCATGGCCAACCTGCAGTCCTCATCTTCTTCACCGGCTACCTCTAGCCTGCAGGCCTGGTGGACAGGAGGGCAGGACAGAAGCAGTGGGAGTTCCAGCAGTGGTCTGGGCACAGTGTCTAGCAGTCCTGCTTCTCAGCGCACCCCAGGGAAGCGGCCCATCAAGCGTCCTGCATATTGGAGAACCGAGAGCGAGGAAGAGGAGGAGAATGCCAGTCTGGATGAACAGGACAGTTTGGGAGCATGCTTCAAGGATGCAGAGTATAGTAAGGGCAGCTAAGCACATGGGTCCAAGCCAGCATCAGTCTCATATCCAGTCCCAAGAGAGAATAGCCTGTTGAGCAAAGATGTGACATTAAGCCTGATACTTAGTTTCTCTGAGTCATGTTTTCTTATTCTGTAAAATGGGAGGATATCTCAAAGGTTGATGTAAGAATTAGAGATTATGCTTGCACAGAGTACCTGAATCACCAGTGTCTCACTTGTGAAAAGTTCTCAAAAACTGGTTGCTCTTATAATTAGCTATTGTCTATTTTTAGTACTGTCCAATTTTCATTCTGGTAACTTTGTTTCCCTCTTATTTTTCTTATACTACCTGTATTTATGTTTTGTGTTGGCCAGTTCATCACTTGCATAGGTATATACAATCAGTCCTTCATATATGTGGGTTCCACAATTGCAGATTCAACTAACAGTGTATTAAAAATCTTCAAAAATCTGCAATGGCGAGGCTCTAAGCAACTCAGTGACACCCTGTCTCTAAATAAAATTCAAAACAGGGAAGGGGATGTGGCTCAGTGGCTGAATACCCCTGATTTCAATCTCCAGCACCCCCAAAAAAATCTTTGGAAAAAGAAATTACATCTCTACTGAATATGTACAGATAGTATAACAACTATTTTATTTAGCATTTACATTGTATTAAATATTACAGGTAATCTAGATATGATTTAAAATATCCAGGAGAATGTACATAGATATATACAAATGCTGTGCTATTTTATATTAGGGACTGAGCATCCTGGGATTTTGGTTGAGGGGTGGTTCTTGAGACCGGTTCCATGTGGCTACGGAGGGATAACTAGGACTTTTCAGTGGACTTTTTACATTTACAAATGAGTATTTTGAAGCTAAGCTTTTTTGAGGACTACAATGTACTTGTTTGTATAATGCAGATAACATTGTGTGGATTTTGTTTTAATATTATTTTTAAAAAACTATAAAATATGGTTAGTGTTCATTGACCAAGATTAAAACAAAGCAGAGAAATCAAAACTTCCTTATAACTAATATTCTTCCTCTCTAAGCCCAGTTTGATGTATACCCTTCCTCTCATCATGTTCACACTCTATATAGACATAATATAGTTAGAGGTGTACTTATTTACTCTGTGTGTTTCTGCAATTTGCTTGGATATTTTCCCCCATTAGTACATGGAGACCTACTTCATTGATATGTATATATCTCCTTGCTGTATAATATTTTATAACACAGATGTACATCATATATTTAATTATTCATTTGAAGTTGACATTTAGGTTTGTTTTTAAGTTTATTTTTGTTATTAACAAATGGTGCAATGAAAATATTTGATAATATTTCTTTGCACCCATGTGCCAGTTAATATTTGTCCAGGGTAGACAGACCTGCTGGGTTAAAGGTTATATACAAGATAAATATTAATAGATAGTGAAAAGTTGTCCTTCACTGGGGCCAGCATATTGAGCAGTGTATGAGAAATAACCTGTTTCTCCACAGCCTTCCCTAGCAGTGGAGATATTATCAGCTTTTTTTAATCCCATGGGAAAAGATGGCGTTTTAGTTTGTTTTACATGTTTGTTGTTTCTTTATTCCTTTTCTGTGAATTATCTATTCAATCTTTCACCTATTTTTCCTACTGGAATTTTTTTCTTATTGATTTGTAAGAGTTCTGTATGTGTTCTAGATTTGTTGGAATATTTTTTGCTCCAACATAAGTTATGGATATGTTGATTTTTTTGTTAGAGAGGAGCATCATGTATTTTTTCTCATGTCTACACAGACTTCCATATAATTAAGCTTCAGTAGGGAGAAGAAGGAAGGGTAGAAGTAAGGAGCAGGGTGAATCTGGTTCTGGGGCCATCAGTATTCTGAACTACTGAAACAGTTTCAGACTCCTATTTCATTGCCTCACTTCTGATCTGATCTCTATACCATAGTCAAGTGACCTCCTTAAAGCATGAGGGCTAACCTGTCACTCTTCTTAAAACCTCTTGTGGTTTCCCATATCACTTTATAATGGAAACCTAACTTCTAACTATTGCCTTCAAAGTTCTGCATGATCTGCTGCTACCTTCCCCTCCCTCCCCCTCCCCCATCTCTCTCCATTTCCTGCTCCTCTCCATCTACATTATACTTCCTGTCATTTATTAAACTGTCAACCAGCCACTGTGTCAGAACCATTGTACAGGCTGGTTCTTCCCCCAGAATGCTCTTTCTCAGCTCTTTAAATTACAGAAAAATATTTCAGTCTATTATATTTTAATTTTATGTATAATATTTTTAGCATGTAGAAGATTCTAACACACTGTGCTATTTTTATAGTTTTTATATTTGTGTTTTCATTAAGAAGCCCTTTTTATATTTTTACCTAAAACTTGTGTAGGAGTTAAAGCTTTTATTTCTTTATCTGAAGTTAAGCTTTGTGCATTGTGGAAGGTAAGACTTTAGCTTAATTTTGTTTCATGTGAATATTTATTTATCTCCCCCCACTGCATCGTTAACTAGCTCATCATTAGCCCCATGATTTAAAGTCCATCTTTGTCATAAACTGATTTCTCATATATGTGTGTATTTAATTTTCTATTCTAGTTCCAGTTCTGTGCCTTGATAGCTATGTGAGTTTAGGAAAGTAAGCTAACTTCTTAGCCTTTTGTGGTAATAGTACTTTAATAGTACCTACTTTGTAGGTTGTTGTGAGGAATGAAAATATATATAAAACATTGCCCAACACATCATAAGCATAGTATGTTAGATATTATTATTATTATTCTGTTCCATAAAATTAATCTATCTAGTCCAGTGGCAATACGATATAGTTTAGTTACTGTAGGTCTTTGTTTCTGGTGAAGCAAACCTGCTCTGCAGAACTTGCTTTGGACCTGAGAGTACAGATGCTCAGCAAGCCCATTATCTATAGGCTAAAGTATAATTGGTCTTAAGAGACATGCTAAGTTCCCCTGGCCCACCTTACCTTCAACAGCCAGTTGCATCAAAGTACAACTAAGATATCTGGACCTGGTTTAACCAGTCCTCAGAAGAACAAACAGTTCACTCAGCTTCTGTTTCTCTTTTCCCCTACTTTGTCCAGCTACATGGCAAAAGCAGTTAAAGAGAGATCTCCTTAGGGTTTTTTTTTAATATTTCCAGAATTTTTTGACTGTTGATGAGCTTTGTTCTATTATAGATGAATTTTTAGAAATCAGCTCATCATCAAATTCCATGAACAATCCTTTTAGGATCTTTAAATTAGGTTTGCATGGAATGTGTAAATAAATTTATGAAGACGGACATCTTTCACCAGAGTCCTTTCTGCTCTAATGGGATGTATACATTCCTGAAAAATCTCATGTCCTGAATATTTATGAACAAAAATGTAGGGATTGGGGCTGGGGTTGTGGCTCAGTGGTAGAGCATTTGCGTAGCATGGGTGAGGCACTGGGTTCAATCCTCAGCACCACATAAAGGTAAATAAATAAAGGTATTTTGTCCATCTACAACTAAAAAGTACTTTAAAAACACAGGGATTATAAGAAAAAGAAGTTAGGGGCAAGGTGTGGTGGCATATGCTTGTAATTCTAGCAACACAGGAGGCTGACAGAAGGATTGGATGTTCAAGGCTAGCCTCAGCAATTTAGTAAGACCCTAAGCAACTTAGAGAGGCCCTGTGTCAAAATAAAAAAATAAAAAGGGCTGGGGATGTAGCTCAGTGGTAAAGCACTCCTGGGTTCAATCCCCCAGTCCCCCCCACCCCCTACAAAAAAAGGGGAAAATAAGGTAAATCCCTCAAAATATTATATGAATTTAAAGCCAAAACACTGGCTCAGATAACGGCATTTCTAATAATAATCCTTGCCCAATTAGAGTCCATTGGCATTTACACCCAGCATCACAGTTAGCAGATCATCTATAGCCTTAAAGCATGGACTCTAGTTTTTTACTTCCAGATGTGGATTTTTTTTAAGATTCTTGGAATTGAACCTAGGGGCATTTTACCACTGTGTTGCATTCCCAGCCACCTTCCTCCATTTTTTTTTTTTTTTAATTTTGAGATAAGGTCTTAGTGCTGGTCTCAAACTTGCAATCCTCCTGTCTCAGCTTCCCAGGTAGCTGGCCCAGATGTGAATTCCTGAAAACATTTGGATCCAGGGCCTTGTCTTTATCAGTGTTTCTTTCTTTTTTGTGCTGGGAATTAAACCCCAGGGCCTTGTGCATGCTAGGCAATCTCTACCACTGACCCATATTCCTAGTCCCTCCCTCCCTCCCTCCCTCCCTCCCTCCCTCCCTCCCTCCCTCCCTCTCTCTCCTTTTTAAACACAGGGGGATGATATTTTTGCAACTTTGTATGCTCTGTCAGCAAGCTTCTTGTCCCACCAGAACCTAATTCGGTTTAAAACAGAGTCTTGCTCTGGTGGGGATTTTTAGCTTTTTTTTGTATGTCTTCATATATTGCTAAGGATTTCTCTGTAGTTGTAAGGGGAAAAAATACCACTAACTGACTAAAAACAATATGCCAGGGAAAATTGCTTTTGAATCAGTGCAACTTCTCAACAGCATTGACATCATTCCTCATACCTTTTGGGTATGAACAATGAACTATTAATAGGCCCTCTTCTCTTCCTGTCATTAAGTGTGGTCTGTCTTTCCATTTATTTAAGTGTTCTTGTATATATCTTTTTTTGGTTTATTTCTTCAGTTTATTCCTAAGTATTTTATTTTGGTTCCTACTAAAAATGACATCTTTTCATGTGTTTTTTTTCTTTCTAATTGGCTATTTGCTAATATGGAGGAAAAGAGGTGATTTTTCCATATTGATCCTGTATTCTACTCCCTTACTATACTCATTAGTTGTTCTAATTTTTCAGTTAATTGATTTGACTTCTTTTGAGGTAGGTGACCTATGCATCCTGTATTAGTTTGGTAGATGTACCCCCAAAAAGAAAAACCACAAACTGTGTGGCTTAAACAACATTTTTTTCCTCACAGTTCTAGATGCTGAAAGTTCAAG